GGATGGCATATCTATTGGAAAAATAATATTATTAACCCACACTTTTTTGCTAGCAGAACACAAGAAGCACATACATTTTACAAAAACATCCATGGGTTTCCAAAATAAAATATTGTGCAACCATCTGGGAAAATAGTCTACCAGTGCTTTACAGAATTCAGAAACTGAATWTCTGAATGTTTTTTTTATCAGTACAAAAATACTGCCTCCAAACATAAAAGTTATGTAGGAAAATTGATTGGCTGATCCTATTTTAGTCAGAAAAATGAAAACTGGAGGATTTATATTGGCTATGTGGTGCAGTATAAGTTAGTATGACCAAAAAATAAATAAATATATTAATAAATAATAAAAAAGAAGACGAAAGCAATGCAACTGCTGCTCCACTTCCAGCATGCATGTCTATCATCTACTCAAAGCAAACCATGCATTTTAGACAGCATGCACTGGGAATCATGAACCAAACTGCCATRAAGCCATCACCAAGTCAGCTCTTCAGAATGCTGTGGAGAGGAGCTGTGAGTTGACAGGACAATGATGGAACCTCTGAGTTATGGGGAATCAGGAGCATCTCATAAAAACAGCAGCAGGAGTGTCCTGTTTCATCAAAAATGTTGCACAACTGCAAATTTCAGTACAGGTAAAAAATGTAAAAGAAAAAATATCTATATATATATACTTTCTTTCTTTCTTTCTTTCTTTCTTTCTTTCTTTCTTTCTTTCTTTCTTTCTGTTGTCTGTCTTTCTTTCTTGCTTTCTTTCTAATTATTATTATGATTTATTTTTATTTAATTTATTTGTTGTGTTTATTGGCCTCCTCTCATTTAAAAGCTACTTTAGCTAGAGAGCTCATGTCCGAGTCAGTGGAAAATAGGATTGTGTGAAGGGGGCAACCTTGAAGACTGGTTTAATTTGGTTTTCAATGTTTATCTGTTCATTAATGCTCATCCACTTCAGCAAAGATAATCTAAAGCCAAATCACTTAAGGTTTCATATGGTATCATATAGGTTATACGTTTCTACAAGCAGAATACAGAACATATGATGTCCCTGCTGCATGTGTGTCAGAATGGAAAGCATGTTTTCCTTTTATACAACTATGTTGAATTTCAACAGCTTTTATTACTATACTATTTCATTATATTACACTATGCTCTTGTACTTTTTATACTTTAACATTAAATTTTATTACAATCTTCTTCAATAATATTCATATACAGTAATTGCCAAATTCAGATTGTTTTACTCTTTTACTCACTAAAATTAAATGTGAAAACCACATTTTTATCTTTGTTTGATGATAGAAATGTGTTGCTAGGTAAAAGTACAACAATACATTAAAATATAATAGACTAATATAAAACACAGTCTCAAAACTGTGCTCAAAGGTTTCCCAGCAACAACGTGTTTTGTTTGTTTGTTTAAGGTTTAAAACTATTCATGAATGTCTTTAGAAATGTTAGCCATTAGCACTGCCTCCAGGTTTACAGCCAACAATGAGGAGCAGAAATTCTCCCAAAGTCAATCTATAGGGATTTCTTTCAGTTATCTAACAAATCATTTAAGTCAAAAGACCTGCAGCCAACATTATGCCACACTAAAATCAAATCAGGTCCATAAGGTATCAGAGCTACTGTAATAATGTGCTACTTGCTTCACATCAATGGACCAAACTATTTGCCTCTTCACACCTAAAGACTGATGGTGTTGTATGTTGTTTGAAGTTTGTGGTAAATCTTCTGTGCTACACTTGAAGTGCCATCACTACTGTAGGCACAAGAGTTGTGTATGTGGTGGTCCAAATAAAGAGTTGTAGTCTGGTTTGAAATGACCCCAAACATAAACATGATCAACAATTTTTTTAAAGATAAAACACATCCTAAATGAAATGTGAAGATGWGGCATATTTCACAAAAATGAATAGGAACAAAATTATTTGGGGCAATCTGCTCTTAGGCTGCAGTAAACTTTCAATTAATGTGATTATAGTTTCTGCATTATCATAATTTGTGCTTTTATTAAATTAGTGTTTTGTTAGTTTGAAATAATTTTCTTTTGTTTTAGTGTCTGCCTTTCCACCTGTGTAAACTGTTTAGCTCTGATTTCCTCTTCATGCTCTTCCATCATGCCATACCTGATCCTGGTTGTCCCTGCACAGGTGTTGATCACCTTGGGTTCATTAATTTATCTTTATGTTCTCTGTTGGTTTGTCAGCTTGTCGGTTCTAAACATTGAACCATGTTCTGAGAGCCCAGTATGGTCCCATGAAACAGCATGTGAAAACTACGTAAGTCAAGTCTCAGTGTTTGAATCATTTTGGTTGTTATTTGTTTATTTGTTTCATCTGATTTTGCACAAGGTATTCTAGAAGCCAAATCATTTTTCATGTCATTTTTTTTCATGCAAAATGATACAGTGCATAAAAAATTTAGATGAAATGTAGTAGAAGTAATGTGCTGAATCTGTTTGACGTTGCTATGGAATCATATGAAACAGACATGAGAAAACAAGCTTCAATATAATAAAACCCACAACCACTAACTTTAACCCCTGAGCCAACAAGATCATCATGGCTATACCAAGCTTAACTAATGAGATATATCAATATCTATCTACTTACTCATCTGTTTATTCAGAAATACCCTATTACACATATTTAAAGCAATCAATCTAATTTTTACAATAAAAACCTGTAATGTAAAACAACTTCAATTATTTGTCAAGTCCTCCTTTTTTTATAAAAGGTAACTTGTATCAAGCAATTAAATGACATCAAACTTGATATAAGCATGTATATACTGTATATATAAAAA